ACATTCAACTGCAGCAATGGCCTTCCTGTGGATCCTCTCCTGCCTCGCCTTCTTTGGTGCAGCCTATGGTATGATCCTCTGTTACTTTTATGCTAGCTTTTAAGCTAGGCCAACCTTTAGAAAACAGTTCTAGGGATGTAAAAATCTTTTAAATTGCTTTTCTGTCATTTTTTGCTCTGTCAGGCTGTGGCGTTCCTGCCATCCCTCCAGTTGTTACCGGCTACGCCAGGATTGTGAATGGTGAGGAGGCTCGTCCTCATTCCTGGCCTTGGCAGGTGTCTCTGCAGGTAAAAGCGGAATATTGGCAACAGTTGATTTAAAATCGTTTATCAGTTTAGCACATTATCATTTATTTATTTCAGGACTCCACTGGCTTCCACTTTTGCGGAGGCTCCCTGATCAATGAGAATTGGGTTGTGACTGCTGCTCATTGCAACGTTAGGTAAGACAGCATTACAACATAAACTTAGAACCTAACAATGTATTGGGAAAACTTGGGAATGCATGTGAGTTTGAATTATTTTGTGGTTTTAAATTTAATATCTTGTTATATACAGCCTATAGTGCTGCTAAAAGTTTTGGGCTATGCAATTTACATTATATCATGTATTCTTTTTACAGAACCTCTCACCGCGTTATCCTTGGCGAGCATGATCGTTCATCCAATGCTGAGGCTATTCAGACCATTGCCGTTGGAAAGGTGCGTACAGTCTAAAATCTGTTATTATATTGAGTCTCTTCCTGCAGAATTCTACAGAATCATGTATTTCTACAGGATTTTAATTCACAGCAATATTTTGTTGTTGGTTACAAAAAATGTAGAGTATGTTTAACTTAAATGTTTTTTTCAGTAACTTTAAAATTATTAATTTGTAGCTGTGTAGTTTTTCTGAGGCTGCCATATATTCCCATTTAAGAAGAAAAATAAAAAACAAACAAACAAAAAAGAAATACAACATTTAAAATAAATAGTAAAACAAATTTAGTGCTTGGCTCCTATAATGCCAACATGACAATTATAGATAGAAAAAATTGATTCAACTGACCTTTTATAATTCTCATCACATTTAGTAGACAGGATTTTTTGATAATTATGATTGCTTTGACTTTATCAGGAGCAGTACATAAAATATATAATACAACAGTAACTCAATTGAAGATTTTATGGACAACAAGCCTTTTGTGACAAGTGTAGAACCAGACCAGCGACCGATCACTTGGTGGAGCAAAATGGGCCAAAATGTAGCCTTTAAATTTTTAAGTGTGTGGCCAGGTTCAATAATTCATCTAACTGCATCAGTAAGTAGAACTGTCTCACAGGACACATTAGTTTGTTTCTTACCATGACATTGTGGATCATGTATCACAATAAAGATGACACACTCACATTCATTAGGTATACATCTACTTTTTACTGAATATATAGCAGTGGCAGGACATATTCTTAGTTGCACTCTAAAAAATAAAGAAATAAAGAAACAGAAAATTGCAGTGATTCCATAGATAAATCATTTTTATGAAGAGCCTTTCAGTCAGCAGTTCTTAAAGGAACCATTAATTTTTCAGTATAGATGCATTTTAATGATCTAAATAATCCTTTTCCTATCTAAAGAATCTTTTGAGGTATAGAAAGTTTGCATGAATGTTAAAGATTCTTCCTGGAAGCACTTATGCCAGTAAAGAGTGTTTATTTTAATAATGTAAAAAGCATGAACATACCCTGAACTATGTGTGGGATTTTGATAGAAAGTGAGAAGAGCATTCTCAAAGATTGATACTTAAAAATCTGAACGCCAATGTGTCTGCACCTTTTTCCCAACAGTCCATCAAGCATCCTAACTACAACAGCTTCACCATCAACAATGACATCCTGCTGATCAAGCTGGCCACTCCTGCTAAGATCAACACTCACGTGTCTCCTGTGTGTCTCGCCGAGACCAACGACAACTTCCCTGGTGGCATGAAGTGTGTGACCTCTGGATGGGGCCTGACCAGATACAATGGCAAGTATTATTGGATATAAAGAAGGCTCGATCTCTATCCTGAAATGTCTTCTGTGTGTGTGTGTGTGTGTGTGTGTGTGTGTGTGTGTGGGGAAAGCTTTTAAAATGCTGCCAATCTGTCCTTCAGCTCCCGATACTCCTGCCCTGCTCCAGCAGGCCGCTCTGCCTCTGCTGACCAATGATGACTGCAAGCGTTACTGGGGAACCAACATCACTGATCTGATGATCTGCGCTGGAGCTTCTGGTGTCTCTTCTTGCATGGTGAGCTCCCGGATGAACAGATTTGACTATTGTTGTAATGCCTGCTTGATTGTTCGCTCACACACTGTCTTTGTTTTCCAGGGTGACTCTGGTGGTCCTCTGGTGTGTGAGAACAACAGAGTTTGGACTTTGGTTGGTATCGTGTCCTGGGGCAGCAGCACTTGCTCCACCTCCACTCCTGCCGTCTACGCCCGTGTCACCAAACTCCGTGCCTGGGTTGACCAGACCATTGCTTCCAACTAAAGCAGCAATGAATCCTGTCATCAATAAACTTATATGACATGACCTTTGATTTAGTTTCATTGCATTAATTATTATAAAGGTTGCATATTAGAAAATATATTTTATTGATCATATTTCAAATAGACAAACTAAATCTTATTCTTAGTACCCCAATTTTAGGAATTATTGTGCACTGTTCAAATAAGGGTTTCAATAAGAGGTGATGCAGTGATGCTTGCAGCTTTTGTAAAATGATGCTTTGTAAAAAGTAAAACTGTTCAACTGTAAACAATCATGAAGTGAAGTGTTTAAAAAAAACTGGGGTTCATTCACTGAACATCAAAAGATAACTTAAATGAAATAAAACAACAGAAATACTATCAACAAAGAACGAATAACCCAACAACCTGAGTCAAGTCTTCCTAAACAATATTACAAATGTGTTAAATAGTCATTTGCTGTCAAAATTACGAACTCATAAGAGCTTTGGCCACAGATATGCTTGTGATTCTAATATCACATCAAGTGCAACACCATTTTCATGTCAGATTAAAAAAAGCACAAATTTGTATGACCTTATTCTGCCATCTAAAGGTAAAATGCAGCTAATACACATTTAGTCAAAACTGAGTTAAGGTCAGAAATGAGCTTTGTGACAGTTGTTCTGTCTTGTGACAATGTCTCTGAGATCAAATTTGTCTTGTTTCATAGAAAGAAAATCTATTAATATATCCACAAAATGTTTGGCTGCCCGTATTTTTTTGGTTTTGGGGTTTGGACCGTTGCGACATGGGCCCCTATCATACACCCGGCGCCAAGATGAGTTTGCCCAGATATGTTGCCATTTTCAGTCCATCGCAATTGTAATTTTCCTGTTTTCCACCACGTTGTTTAAATAGCAAATCCTTTGTGCCACTTTTGTGGACTTATCTGTGTTTCGGTCTAGAAAAGAAGTGTGTTGAGGCGCTTTGTTGGTGTGTTGCTATTTTGAGGAACTAAAATAGAGTGCTCAATAGACCAGCTGAAAGCAAGTCTAAAGTCCAGCACAGAGTGCGTTAGTTGTGGTCTCGCTTACACATTCCTCCGGGTGCTCCGGTTTCCCCCACAGTCCAAAGACATGCGGTACAGGTGAATTGGGTTGGCTAAATTGTCTGTAGTGTATGAGTGTGTGTGTAAATGTGGGTGTGGATGTTTCCCAGAGATGGGTTGTGGCTGGAAGGGCATCCGCTGCGTAAAAATTTGCTGGATAAGTTGGCGGTTTATTCTGCTGTGGCGACCCTGGATTAATTAAGGGACTAAGCCAACAAGAAAATGAATAAATGAATGAAAAACAAGCTTAGATTTGTCCACCTGTCAGGTTTTAGACCACATGGGGAAAAGCATGTGTTTTGGATATAACTCTTTTATTCATTTGCTGAAAATTAGAACTGAGCTTAGAAATAGTTTTGAAACAAGTCTTTGCCAGGCCAATGGATGTCTGTGTGTACAACACCATTTCCTTATTTAGGAAAGAAAGAAAGAGAAAGTGAAAGTAAAGGCCGATGGAGGAGGCTCAATCTTTATCCTTGTGCTGCAGATCTGTTTAACTGTTTTCTCGCTAGTGAAGCATTCAGTTTTTCCACTTACACAGTCCGCCTTGTATATAGCAAATGCGCGATGGCACAACGCAACTGACTCTCAAAAGGAATGGGAGATGAGACTCTGTCTAGTTTATTCTCAAAACACACCCATGAGAACAAGTTCAATCCTGTTAAGCCTGGTTTTTACTTCTGCGTCGAGTGATCGGCGTGACCCACAGCGCATACAATGCGCGTAGCTGTGCATTTATACTTTTAAACGCTGTTTGTATTTGCAGAGCAATGACACTTCCGAAACAATAGCTGGCAGAAGGTGTTTATGTTCCACTGTGTTGAGTTTCTTGGTGTTTTGTTTTTTCTGAACACTATGTACAAGTGGCTCAAACTCACTCATTTTGAGGCAGGAATCAGTGGACATGCAATAACTTTAATCAACAGGTAAACGCAAAACAACAGTCTTCATCTGGAGCTCCTTCATGAGACTCTACACTTGTAAACAATCGCTCCGTCGGGCTCATGGGGCTCTTACCTCTGCCCACACTCATCATCGCAAACAAACTAACCAATTATAGAGCTTTTGGTGTCATTGTGACATACATTTTTTGAGAGGTGCGCGTCAGCGACATTGTTACATTATTTTAGCTAGAATGGTCACCCATTGCATACACTCTTTTTTATGTAGATGCATCATGGGACTCTTAAAAAAAAATACACCAAACACTCCCACATTTGTGGACACTGCTTTTTCATACACACCAGTCATTCTCACTAGGATGATTCAATTATTTTCTATTAAAGAAGCACACAGTATGCTATATATACATTTTTAGAGCAAATAATAATCTATTTTTTCTCAGTTTAATAATACTAGTTAATTTTAATAACACTGTGTTAATTTGAATTGTCATTATTCTTTTTAACCACACTGCATTATATTTTATTTTATTTTGCCTAATAATATATTCCCTTAATAATAATTTAATTGCATTTAAGGCACATTTCTCACAATCCAATGTGTCTGCATGTTGTCATCATTTATAGCTCTTTCAGTTAATACTCTACACAATTGCAATAATCAGAGTTTATTGAATGCATATATACAAAATATTTAAGACAACATTTGAGTAAATAATATTGCAATTAAATTACACCTTAAAACCGCAGCCAATGGTGCACTCTATGCTTTGTGCTTCTCTATTATAACAAAAAACTTCTCTGTGGATTCTCTGTGCGAGTTTATGATTGCACTGTCCACAAATACATTCAGTAGCTCTTAAAACTGTAAATATAATGCTACCATTTGCTATCTGAAGGCAGAACTTGTCTCTATGCATATTCGTTTTTGCAGGTGTTGTCCATGCTGCGGCAGTAACAGAAGGCCTTAAAGAAGCGGCAGTAGCAGGTGTCGCAGGGGTTGCAGCAGGGCAGATGATGACCCAGACAGGACTGTTGATGAGGGATACAGCGGCTCGGGGAGCGTGTGCCTCTTCTCTGCAGGTGGACAGCTTTGCCCAGATCCTGTGTTATGGCAACAAAAAGAAAAACAACATTATTTCACCTTTACAGAGGACACCGTTGTAGATTAGCACAGTAGATCTTTAGTGTAGCTGTAGTATTATTTGCCATATTTTATTTAGCATTTATTTATTTTATCAGTCTTATTATTTCAATATTTTTATTATTAAAATGTATTTAGGCCAATATATATATATATATATATATATATTGGGGGGTTAAAGAGATTAAAATAAAAATAAAAAATCAATCACTATTCACATAACCTCATGTGGTTTGAAACCTTTATGAGTTTCTTTGAAAAATGTTAGAAAGCGGTAATCATTGACTTCTATCGGACAAACAAATAATATGGAAGTCAATACAGGTTTTCAGAATGTTTCGAAATATTTTCTTTTGTGTCAATAATATTAATAAAATACTCAAATAAGATTGTGACAAATTAATTATACTTAAGTGATGATAAAATTTAGAATTTTGGGTAAATTGTCCTTTTAAAGTAATTAAAACGGTCACAAGATGCAGATTAGCACTCAATTAAGGGGAAAAAAAGAATAAAACTATTTTTATTAGACTAATACCATATTCGACTAGATCTGAACCTCCAAGACAAACAATGCTCACATAAAATGTTGGCTTTGCAATCTGTAAGTCGTTTGATATTAAATGTGTTTGATAAATGCCAGTAAACCACCTCATCATAGGCTTCAAGGTCTTCTAGTATCTTTTCTTCTGCTGAGTTTATTTCAAGGTGCTCCATTTCAGGCAGTGAGTCTATGATGTACAAAACATGTGTCATAAACAAAAGAGTTCAACATCAGTCCATTATATCAATTTGAAATTCATTCTGTAGGTAATGCCACATGGGATTCACACAGTTCAGTACTGATATTGTTGTTTACAACCTTTTATAATTATATCATGATCAAATAATGATCAAAACATATATAATAGATAATCTCACTCACAATTTAAGCCCTAAAGAAAGATGTGTTGAACATATGTACCCACGAAAATAGTAACAACAACTCTCAATTTAAATGGTATCTTGCTTTAAATTATGTCACTCTCTGAAAAATCGTTTTACATACAGCAGTCAACATTTGAAATGAATCAAAAAAGTTTATTAAAATTTACTAAAACCATTGAACAATGCCCAATTATCTTTTTCATTTGGAAAAAACCTACTTTATACACTATAATATACACTATAATTTGTTCAAGAAAGTGTTAAAATGAATAAAATTCAAATAAAACTTTCCCTTTGTGTGACAATTTGTACTGTATCAAATCACACTTGATTGTTGTAAATAAAAATAAACAATTAATAATAACTGAAGACAGCACCATTAAAAAAAAAAAAAAAAAAAACTAGAAAAATATACACTCTGCAGCATTTCTGAAAAATAATGTTGGTCTAGACTTACCTGTGTCAGATGTCAGAATGAATGAGTTTTCTCTGCGTCTCAGGTGTGGATGAGATGCCATCACCACAACATTCACCAAAAACCAGCCGAAGATTACTGTGTTCAGCATCATAATCACTCAGACTCAAAAAAAGAGATAAACTTTAGCCACACTTTTTGTGTGTGATCTGGATGTATTCACTGAAAAAAAGAGTGTAGTGAAGAAAAAACAGATTCACATAAATAATACACACACCTGAATGTATGTTTTACCTACCTGTAGTGCTCACGTCCCAGGCTGAGGGTCTTCACAGGACTCCTGGATTTATACAGCTTCTTGAGGAGGGAGGTGAGGGACACATGGTCCTGATCAGAGGATGGAGGAGGGGTCTCTATAGTGCCTGGCACAACCACTTAACTCAACACAAACACATGCACTCAACTCATCAACACAGGACAAGAGCAATATGTAGAATTTATATAGTTATATTGTAGTAATGATTTACCTTGTGGTGAATATTCTATAGGAGCATGAGCAAAACAACACAGAAATCATAATAAATGTATTTTGAAACTAAATGGGGGAAACTAAATCTTTAAGGGAACATATTAAAATACTTGTACAGTAACACTTATACTGTCTGATGATCTGTATATATATATATATATATATATATATATATATATATATATATATATATATATATATATATATATATATATATGTGTGTGTGTGTGTGTGTGTGTGTGTGTGATTTTTTTGGTGAATGGGAATGCTTTAGTAATAACAGTTTTCTGTCAGTTTTGGGAAATTCCAGTATTTATTGGACAAAAGGTATTATTTTTATTAATGTTATAATTTATTCATTCATTCATTTTCTTTTTGGCTTAGTCCCTTTATTATTCCGGGGTTGCCACAGTGGAATGAACAGCCAACTTATCCAGCACGTTTTACGCAGCGGATGCCCTTCCAGCCACAACCCATCTCTAGGAAACATCCACACACACTTATTCACACACACTCATACACTACAGACAATTTAGCCTACCCAATTTACCTGCACCGCATGTCTCTGGACTGTGGGGGAAACCGATGGACCTGGAGGAAACCCACACGAACGCAGGGAGAACATGCAAACTCCACACAGAAACACCAACTGACCAAGCCGAAGCTCGAACCAGCAACCCAGCGACCATCTTGCTGTGAGGCGACAGCACTACCTACTGCGCCACTGCGTCGCCTGTTATCCTTTAATAAAAGTAATAATAATAGTAATAATAATAGTAATAATAATAATAATAATAATAATAATAATAAAATGTTTCTTAAGAATGAAAATCATCATTTTATAAACATAAATATTCTAAATTGCAAAACAAATATTTGAAATTATTATTAATTTGCTGCATTTTGGATTGTGGTTAAAATAGAGCATCGACTGCATAAAACATATATGCATAGTAATTGGTGATTCATTCTGCAGTAGTGACACCTGATAACTCAGGGACTAAACCGAAGAAAAGTGGATCAAACAAGATAATTGTGTTGTTGTAGAAAACAATCTGAACACAAATGTTTATATTTCAACATTTAATCATTTTAAGAAGTAACATTTGATTGTTACAGATTTTGTTGCTTCTGAATTGTTGACATTTAGCTACAGATATCTGACATAGAGATGTTTGGTTAGTCTTGTTAAACAAGGGGGAACAAATTCTATTTGGTAAATGCATTTATAGTTTTGACTAACTAAGTTTTCATTTCCTGCTTCCATAAAGTTAATGCTCAGTACTCACCAGTAAACACTTCATAATACATCTAATAGATCCACAATCAGCTGATGACTCCAGCCTGCTCTTTCAGTGCTGATGACGCAGTAGCATCCATTTATTGAGGAAATAAATTGTTTATTGAGTTAGATATTCAGTACTTACCCCCATAGGAACAGATTGGTCTGAATTGTTAAGATACAACTAAACGTGCAATTAACAGAAACCAATGTATTATTCAGAGGACATTTTTTGTATAAAACAAACAAGTTAAGTCAACGTTGTTCATTTGAAGACCAGTTTAAAAAGACAGTGGAATCTCTCTATTTAAATTAAATAAATTGTGTGTGTGTGTCTGTTAAGCTTGTCAACAGACAATTTGTCATCAACAAATAGCCTAGTTGCTGCTATTTTTAACCACAGCATGCTTTTAGCCATCTAACACTGAATTAAGAGGATTTCACTTCATATCCTGTTCTCTGGAACATATAAATGGCACATTTGAAGAAATAATGGACTGAGCGTTTATGCTGGAAGACATTTTATCAATATTTAATTGTACAGCCAACAGAATTTAGTGACTTCACAGAAATCTATTCATGCTTCATGTGGAAATGTAGGCTACAATAATTAATCCTCTGGTGAACAGAATCATTTGGTCAGGCCTCTCCATTTATAGTATAGTCTATTGCACTAAACACACAAAGTGCTTCCCTTTAAAAGCTAGTGCCTTTAAATTAATGGAGGAAAACATACAGTAGGCCTTTAATTTAAGTAGGAGATATTGTATAGGCGAATGCTGATCCCTAATAATTCAGAAAAATTACTTGCTGCACATTTTACGTACAAACTTTCAAACAACATAACATTAAACGTGCAGAATCTTTAATTTCAAGTCATGTTCCAGTTGCTTCGTCCTTTCAGATGATTGTGTAGAGCTGTTCTGAGATCAGCGTTTAAGTTAAGTGGTCAGATGTTTGGTCACATGAGTTTGTGTGTGTGCATCCGGGTATCCACAACTTCCCTCATTCAGCTAATGCAAGTCTGCATCGTTTTCGCGATTCGGTTCTTTCGAGCAATTCATTTAAAAGATTCTGCTTCAAAATGATTCTAAGTTCGATCTATGGATATAAATGAGTTCAATCGATTTTATATACATTTGTTTTGCAAGACGTACTATTTTTGTTGATACAGGTAAAAAAGCTGAAAAAAGTTTTATTTCACATATTCACTGTTTCATAAAGAAACAGCAAATGTATTTCTAATTTATATTGTGTTATTTTGTGTTTTTAATAAATGTTTCTGTTGGGTATTTTAGTGTCCCAATATATTTTAACAGCTCAGATTAAGTTTCCAATTTATATTTTTGAAAATACAGTTTGTCTAAGAACATTGGTGCAATTTCCACCTAGGCTACATATTTTAATGCAATTCTATCAATATATTTATTAAACCCATTGTATAAAATATTTTTAAACTGCTACAAACAGCTGTAAACACTCATGGAATTCTATTTGTAGCACTGTTCACCAAACCGTCCAGACCATGGGTCCAGAGCTGTTTTGTGAAATTTAAAAAGATCCGACTCTGAAGAATGATTCATTGGCGATTCGGACAGCAGGTTCATTCAGCACTGCGTTACAGAGCAGCAGATATCGTTCTCTTTAACTAACAGACCAATTTTTCACCATGCCTTTCTCTGAATTATATTTTAATGTTGATAATGGTTATCTAGAGGGGCTGGTGAGAGGTTTTAAGGCTGGCATTTTATCTCAGGCGGATTATTTGAACCTCGTTCAGTGTGAAACTCTGGAAGGTGAGTCGAAGGTGTATGTTGGCTGCTAACGTTGCGTTAGCTCATCTCTGTCATTTTTACATTTTTATTCCCGGCATTTATGTGTACAATTGTTTAACGATTCAAAAAGGTATTTTATCACTGATGTGGTAACATCCGTCGGTTATAACTTATTAGCGTTAGATGTTACACAGCTAATGTGAGTTAGCTTGTTTCCTTAGCTAGCACATATCATCCAGATTACTATTCTCAAATAATTTAGAACATTAACATAACATCCTTAATCTTTCTCTGTCTCATTTCTAAGTAAACATGCATAAGTCCTGTGATCTTTATGTTTTGTTGAAAACCATACTCTGTTTAAAGAAGTGTAAAATAACGTTTCTATGCTAACTTAACTGTGATGCTGACAGACTAAGTTGCTATTACGTTAGCTTCATTTTTCTGATGACCTTTCACGAGTTCATTTTACGTTACATGATCGCACATAAGGCATACAAACGACGACCTCATTTTAATTACTGTGTGTGTTGTATTAATCGAAGGTCTCAGTTTAACATGACGGAGTCATGGGGTTACCAAGATGTTAAAGGGTCTGATTTCAACGTCACATTTAAATGGTCAAGGCACATCTTTAATACAGTTTGAGTGTTTTATAGCAGTGGTATAAACAAACGGTTAATGTTTTATTTATTTATACAAGTGAAAACCTACTGATTTAATTCATGGAGGTACTTGTCATGTGATGTCATGACGTAATTTATGTAGGACAGTAGATTCTCCCGCAAACAGGTTTTGATATCACTGTTTGCCTTTTTTTGTTTGCATTTTAAATTTGTTCTCTTGTAAATGTAGGTAATGTAGATTATTTAGCTTTTTTGTCAAAAAAAAATGTGTTTCTGTCTTTAAGAATCAAGTGACTCATTTGGAATTTTTTGCCTGTGATTTAGGGAACTGGAAATTGTGTAAAAACGTTTTTGTGATTAATATAGAAATCACTTTGAAAACCTAGTCCTTTATATAGAATTAATGTACTTGTTTTCCATTGCATGTCTATAATTTACAAGAACGAATAACTTTTTTTGGGATTTGCTATACTATACATTTTTTTAAATTTTATATTAAAGGTTTCAGTGAATCAGTGGCAAGTGTCATTTAGAACTTTTGTTTTGTCACTTCAATTCGAGAACATAATCCTTTAGTATTGACAAGTAAGGATTTGAGTTTAAACTTAAAACATTTTTAAAAATATATTATTATTATTATTTTAAATGTTACATAATTTGCTCTTCAGACCTGAAGCTTCACTTGCAGAGCACTGACTATGGAAGCTTCCTGGCCAATGAAGCCTCCCCTCTTACTGTCTCTGTCATTGATGACAAGCTGAAAGAGAAGATGGTGGTTGAGTTCCGCCATATGAGGAACCAGTCTTACGAGCCTCTGGCCAGCTTCATGGATTTCATCACGTGAGTACAGTCAAATATTGTCACAGCACATCCTTGGACTTGCTCTTCAGTGTTTGACACTGAACTAAACTAAACTGAACTTCAACTTTGAAAACTAGACTGACACAGTTTCAATTTACTAGAACTTCTATGTTAAGCTGCTTTGAGAGTTTTTTTGCTCTGGAGTAAATACTGATCACCAAGAAACTTTCTCTGCCGTATTTTTAACTAATCATTGTTTTCAAATATTCTATCTTTCATGACCCTCTATTAAGCTCTTTTTAACCTCTGTTTTTCAGATACAGTTATATGATTGACAATGTCATCCTACTGATCACTGGAACTCTGCATCAGCGGGCCATTTCAGAGCTGGTGCCCAAGTGCCATCCACTTGGCAGCTTTGAACAGATGGAGGCTGTTAATATCGCCCAGACTCCAGCAGAGCTTTATAATGCCATCCTTGTGGATACACCGCTTGGTAATACATTCGGACATGAACTACATCAATCCCATTGACTTTGTGTTTTGTGGGAAAAGGAAGGTGCTGAGTTGCCAGTGATTTATTTTCAGTATTTGTTTGAGAGCAACTCATAAACATGGTCCTAAATGACATTAAGCTGCTCATCTTTGTATTCTAGTTAATGGCTCTTTCTCTTTGTTTCAGCTGCTTTCTTTCAAGACTGCATCTCTGAACAGGATTTGGATGAGATGAACATTGAGATCATTCGCAACACACTTTATAAGGTTAGCTTTATGTTGGAAACTAACCAAATTTGATTCTTAAATATTTTATGTTAGGGCTGTGCAATATGAAAATATATATTGTATTGACAAAATAAAAAGTCTGTAATTTCATGAATACTTTTGTTATGGTAATACTTTTTCATCATTTGGATTGCCAATCTGAATGCAGACACATGTGAGTAATAGCAGGGTGAAATCGTTGCAATCTTTACATATTTGGAAAGAATTCATCAATATTTTATATTTTATTAATGTTTATTTATTATTCCAACATTCTTAATTAAACATTTACTCAGAAGTTCTACATCAATCAAGAAAAATAATGATGTGACATACATTTCAGCACATACTTTTAAAAATTTTGAATCAGTCATATCAGTGTGATCAATATTAACTAATTAAATACATTGTCAAGTATATGGTTATCAGAATATGATATTACTTATGTACTTAGTGATATTTTTGGCATATTGTCCAGCCCTATGCCAAATATATATGAAACAAAACATAAAGCTGCTGTTTTGTTTGGATATTCTGAGTAGGTAGCAATCTAACTTTCACCCTGTGGCCACATACACAGTGTGGCTAAATGTACTGTAGACTCATATTATACAATTCAGATCCATATTTTACAATTTATATTATCTATATCAGATCCATATTTTACAATTTATATTATCTATATCAGATCCATATTTTACAATTTCATTAACTGAAGAATACATACTTTATCTAGCTACTAATGATTCATTTAGACCCATATGGTCTCTCTTCTATGTGTGGTGCTAGAAGGCACAGTTAGTTAGGTTTGTATTGATTCATGTTAGAATTAATGGCAAATAAGAAAAAGTCCATAATAAACTTAAACTCAAAATGTTTGTCTTAGAAATAAATAATCAACATATAAAAATATAACAACTTTAAGTACATGCTTATCTGCTTAAAGCCAAATTCTTAATCATCAATTAAGACAAGTGATGTGACAACACTTCCAAACCTCAACATAATCTCAGACAAATATCAAACACACAAAATGCCTCAGATGAAGGGTTGGTTAGAACCTCACATGCAGTACTAAAGACTACCTAAAGGTGCAGTGTGTAAGATTGACACCCAGTGGTTGAACTATGTGTTGCATTCCAATATGAAAACACTTTTGTTTCCCTGACCGAACTTCTCGTAAACACAGGCTGCCAGATTGACAACACTAACAGAAGCAAGCATGCCTGACTATTGAGCCTACACCGTATTCTAGCCACAAGCAACAACACATGCTAAATGTAAAATGTGTATTTTACGAACGGTTTCAATTTATTTCTGCTGAACAACAGCATAAACGTCTTGTGAAAAGTATCACCTCAGGTACTGGCAATGTTTTATTCAGTATTAAATGCTACAAATGTAAGTTTAAATACCATTTTACGTGACATTTAATACAATTTTACGTGACCCCAAATTGTTTAAATAAAATAAACATATAATACATAGTTGTGACACAGTTCAAGCCTACGAATATCAGTTACTCATCATTTTTAGAGTAATGTTAAAGAGGTCTAATATTTATTAATTGCATTATAAGCCTTACCATTTCATTGGAGTGTAGTGCACTATTCTGTTATTCTGAATGGCTGTATTTAAATGTTTCTGTTGTGTTGCATGCAAATGTAGCTTGTTGCTGGAATCTTGTTCATTGAGTTTTGTTGGGACACTTTGTTGAAATGTTACCTACTCGGCTAATGTTTACACTTATTAAATGTATACTAAATCTACCTATTGTGGATTTTTATAACGTTAAATATGTCTTATTTTGGAGGCTGCTGATGTCATCCAGAGGTTGTGTTTTTGTCTGTGGCTGCATACATTGATGCAGTCTTCCTGACTAAAATTAAATAAAGAGTGAGTGACCAAAGGCATCCCTGGGTAATAAAATATGATTGGGTAAACTGGCAATGGACAGGTTATAGAGACCAAAACAAAGAGAGAAACAACTTGCTTTAGCATTGTTAAGATAAATATGTTCACTTGGCATGTTTCTCCAATATCTGCAAACATGTTATGATATTTCTACGATTTAGAAAAGTCAAAACAATTACATACAGCACCTTTAAACCTTGAAGTGTTGTCCCCAAGAAAGAATTACATTTTATGTATTACACATCATGTACACTGTTATAAATGGTATACAACTTGCCGTAAATGTCATTCCAGGGCATGTTACCGGCACAACATGTAATGGCAGTGCTATATCTGAGTTATGTATTTATAAAGATCTTTAAATATCAAACTAAGAACTGTGGTTGATCTCTTTTTGTTTTGCCTACAGGCTTACCTAGAAGCTTTCTACAAGTTCTGCACCACACTAGGTGGCACAACCGCAGACACCATGTGCCCAATTCTGGAAGTGAGTAAACTACACCACTACAGAGTGATCTAATTGACTCTGTTTGTTTTTTTTTATTCATGTTGTAATTGATGCTTTGAAGGATTTATTAGAACTAAACAAAGATTTGTTTGTGAATCAGTTTGAGGCAGACAGGAGAGCTTTCATCATTACTATCAACTCCTTCGGTACGGAGCTTTCCAAAGAAGACAGAGCTAAACTTTTCCCTCACTGTGGCAAGCTCTACCCAGAGGGCCTGGCACAGCTCGCCCGTGCTGACGATTATGAGCAGGTCAAAGCTGTGGCTGAATACTACCCTGTAAGTAACATTTCATAGACAATATTAGGCCTGTTGCAATTAACTTGTATAAAAGATTGTCTGTTGTGTTAAAAAAAAAAAGGTGCAATTCCCATTATAGCCAAACGTGCTTAATTTGTCATCATGTCTGCTCTTTCGGTTCAGGCAGCTTATGTACATCAATTCCAAGGCATTATTTAGTGTTTGCTTGATGACTGCAATTAGAAATCTGTGCAGGACTGAATTGTTAGTCCCGCTCCTGCCAGGATTTACTCTTCACCTGACCACTCCCGCTGTGTATTCAGCCTTTGTTCACCCGCTGTCCGACCCGCCTCTTTTTCTACCCGACCATTCGCGCAAAATTTAGACCTGGTTTCCAAAATCTCACATTAAAATTGGGTACTACCAAAAGAGAGAGATAACAGAAAAAAATGTAGGTTGTGAAAGAATTGTAGGGTAAATGTCACTTTTGTTTGCCCCTTGAGATTTCATTGATGAGGCATAAATGCCACCTTAATCAGTGATGTCCGGTGAGGTTTGTGGCTTGTGAGGTACAACTCTTTCAAGGTCAGATTTGCAAACAGGTTCGCGCAATATGTTTGCCAACTACCGATTGTGTTTTATATTTATCATATCTATATTGTGTTTTATATTTATATATCATATCAGCATTATTTCCATACATGTTGCCGGTTCATTTTGGGCCAAGGAAAATTATAATATGTATTGCAATGTTTCACATTAGACATTGTACGATGCCAAATTTGTAAACATCGCTGAACCCTACCTCTAACTGCAATCCTCAAAATTCTGATGACAGGATAAAGTGGAGCAAGTAAACAGATAGCATAACTCGCCATATAGCTAAAGAGATGTAGCCACTATACAGTTAAAAAAAAAGCAATTTTTTTCTAACCATTTTTCCTTAAAATATATTTTGTTTATTATAAAAGGTTTGACAGAGATGAGTGGATTTACTGAAAAACAATTATTTAAAATGAATATAATGTAATTTTTTAGAAAGCAAATTCATGTCTGGTGGCAATTACTCCTTTCATTAGCTTCTCATGTCGATTTATATTTAGGTTTTAGGTATTAATGATGCTAAAGATATAACGGTATTTTAGTGTACCATGTAAAAACAGGCTAATAAAAAAAAAAAACTTTCAGTTAATTTTTATTTCTATAGTAAATTTACAGTGTAGATTGGGTCAAAGCAGCGGAACATAGAAGTTCTGGTTAATTGAAACTGTCTGTCCAGTTTTCAGAGTTGAAGTTTAGTTTAGTGTTTAAATTTCACTGCTTTCTCCACAAGATGTCGCCAAAGTCTAAATGTTTTGTTTAAAGGGTTCCTCTATTTCCAGTATTCATTCATTAATTTTCTTTTCGGCTTAGTCAGTTTATTCGGGGGTTAATCGGGGGTTGCCACAGCAGCATGAGCGGCCAACTAATCCAGCATTTTTTTTTTTATGCAGCGGATGCCCTTTCAGCTGCAACCCATCACTGAGAAACATCCACACACACCCATTCACACACATACACTACGGACAGTTTAGCTTACCCAATTCACCTGTACCGCATGTCTTGGACTGTGGTGGAAACTAGAGAACCTGGAGGAAACCCACGCAAACTTGGGAAGAACATGCTAACTCTACACAGAAATGCCAACTGACCAAGCTGATGCTCGAACCAGCGACCTTCTTGCTGAGGCGACAGCACTACCTACTGCGTCACCCTATTTCCAGCATTATATTACATAATTAGTAGGCCTGTCACAATAATCAATATATTGACTTATCACACAACACGTAGACCTTACGTCACTTTTAGAGTGTATTGTGATATTATATTGTCAATCTGAGATTGTATAATGAATGGCATAAATAGGTCTTAAAATGACAATAATATCATTCATCGCAATATATTTGGTGCAATATATAGAACGACAAGAAATAGATATTGTAACAGGCCTAATAATTAATGGCATAAAATGGCCTAAATCAAAGGGTACAATACAATAGTTGTCAAGAATGTTTCAGTTTAGAGTGAAGTGTCTCTTTAGGTCTGTATTATAGAATGTGAAGTCCACAAAGTTTATTTCTGCTATGTTTAATTGAGCATTAACACTGAGCTCATGTTGCTTCAGGAATACAAGCTCCTTTTTGAGGGTGCTGGCAGCAACCCAGGAGACAAAACCCTCGAGGACCGCTTTTTTGAACATGAGGTGAGTTTAAAGCGAGGAAAAAGAGACTAATGTAATTCTGTAATTTTTAAATCTGCAAACATTTCAATCAGAAAATTCCTTTCTAACATGAAAATGTGTATTATGTATTTGCAGGTGAAGCTTAACAAGCTGGCCTTCCTGAATCAGTTTCATTTCAGTGTTTTCTACGCCTATGTCAAGTTGAAGGAGCAAGAGTGCCGGAACATTGTGTGGATTGCAGAGTGCATCGCTCAAAGGCACCGGGCTAAGATTGACAACTACATTCCAATATTCTAATGGTACTTCATGACAGTCTTGAAAAATAATCCAAGTGGCATGTGTTTTCTGTGCTCTGTTGAGTTAAGGTTTGAAAAAGATGATTCCGTCTCCTCCCCGTTTCTTGCACTACGCCACTCTTACCTTTCCTTGTGATTGTCTGTATTAGAGTAAAGGAACAATCATTTCTGTTTGACAGACAAAGCAATGCCGCTTCCATTCCCCTTTTACTATTGTGTATATTTGAAGAAAACACCAGTCACATCTCCTTACAAGTAAAAGAATGCAGGGAGATTCAGGAAGATGGAAGGGCTGATGATGTTTAAGTGGAAAAACAAAACAAAACTAAAGAGCTCTTATTGTGTCATGCTCTTCCTCTGTCAGGCTGGAAAAACATACATTCCATCAATATTATTTAAGCATTGCATACTATTTCAATTAATGTACATGTTCATATTATAAACTCACACTCTCAGAGGATCCAGTATCCACATTTGATGAGTGCTAATGACTAGTAATGTAGACGGTGAGGCTTTTTCGTGAATTACAAGCAGGTCAAACATTGTAAAGCCATTTTTCAATGCAGTGATGTGGATTCCATAAGCATGCATTTATGATTGATTGAAAGAAATGTTTTACGTCTGTTTCACGATTAAGACACAATAGATTTATCCTTATAAAAAAGAAAAATAGAGAAATACTGGGGATTTTCACGCTTAAAAATACTTTCTTTTGTGTGTGTGTGTATAGGCTCTTCATTATGTTTGTTTGTTTGTTAATGAGGATTGTGTACTTCCTGTTTGTAAATTAGTGCTGATGTTTGTGATGACATAATTTATGGAGTTGATCATATTTATGATTAGCTGAATCTGTGAGGTCGGATGAATCTAGTATTAAAAAAGGCCTCGCTCTCAGCTTGCAATGTTAAATCTCTTGTAATGTAACCGCGCTGTATGTGTTTTAAGTGATCTAAAATGAAATCTATAAATGTATAGATATTATATATACACAGTAACAGTACAGTGTGTTTGTTTGTTTTTATTCTGATTTTAAAGAGAGAGGAGAAAGATAAAAGACTGAAATAGACATCTGGATTAAAAGCAGTTGCTTTTGCCTCCACAAGATGGTGCAGAAGCTCAATTATTCATCCTCAGTGTGTACATTTTGACTTGACACATTGAATAAGCTTCAGAATTTTAATTGATATTAAACCACATACAGACATTCAGCCACAGCCACAAAAGGTGTACTGTACGTTCTGACACAGATTTGAAATATTCATTATAAACATAATTAGTCTAGGGCATTGTGCTTTTGTGTTGAGATGTTTAAGCCTGTGGTGTTTGAGTTGGCAGTTAAATCAACGTCTGCCAAAATCCGCGAGAGGCCTCCAGGGCTAATGATCCCATGTTTGCATTAACAATGTGTTACTCTCCGCACTCTGCCAAAAGCTAAGCTACAGTATACCGAAACACAAGAAGGCTGTGCCAGACACTTACTGACAGTGATTCGTCAGACTTTTGTAAATACCTGACTGGGTTTGAACGTGAAGTTGATGGCTGATAATCTTTGTTTTAAAACGTCTGATGAGAAATGGTCTTTGGGCTTAGAGATGTGCTAAACACCCACACAGTAGAGTATGTTTTGCAGATTGGTTTGGATGGACATCAGTTAGGTTTTTTTTTTTTCCGGGTGGCTTTGGATCATTCCCTGATGACCCCAACCTCGCTCTTTCTACGTGCTAAAACATTAGGGTTCAGGCCTCATTAAAAACGCTTAATTACTGCAAACAATCACAGCCTTTTATTTATGCAGTGCTCAGGACCTATTGCAGATCAGAAGGCAGAAAATGGCTTGGACTCCAGTGACCTTTCTGAATACAAATTATCTTAGCAGGCATCTCACTGCAGCCAAAGGAAAAGCACAAATGGGGTTAAAATGAGGTCATCCACTTTTTTTGTTGCTTGGATCACACTGACAGTTTTGTAAAATGCAGGAAGCTTCCACTTGACCACAAACCTTTTTTTAAGTTACATTATGGATATGCAGTTGTTTGGACAAATGTTAATGTTGGATCAAGGACTTCTGACTTTTACATAGTACTTAAAATTCTTTTGTGTGGGATAAAAAAGGTTACGTTCAGCTAGATTTGATGACAATTTTAAACTTGAGAATCCCACTATGAGAAACTGCTTACATTTATGGAAATTTAAAAAACAAAAGTATTTGGATTGGGTAATACATTGCACAAAGCTGTAGTTAAATTGTCACCCATTTATGTTGCCTATCAGGATCAACACCTGTATTCGTCCTCATGCCAATTCATCTGAATGACTTGTGAGGAATATAAAATAAATTGTGTAATGATTGAGTTTACATACCATCAAACATGAAATTATTCATACGACTGGCAAATTTGGACTTAGTTACTTTTATTCAACCATCAAGTTTTGTTTGTTTTGTTTTTTACCAAAAATGAAACCACATGAGAGTGAATAAATAAAGAATTTTATATTTATTGTTCTTTTAAATTCATGTTGTGCTAAAAAAAAAAAAAAAAAAAAAAAGTAAATCTAATCGTAAAGAGTGTATAATCTTCTGTCACTGAGCCTTTAAGTTTAAGAGCATACAAAATTTTTAAATTGGATTCCGATCCCTGCAACTGGGCGTGTTGAGGGGCCCATGTTAAGACGACTTGGAGAAATGCCTTTGGTTATTTTTTGCTGACAACAGGAAACAGTTTTTGTGGTAGTCTTGTTACCAGGGTACAAGAGGACAAGCAGTTTGGAAATAAAGATTTTTAAGAATATGGGAGAGGGAACTGTGATATAAGACACCAAAACGCAGTCACATGCTGTAACATGCAAAAAGAGCACGGATACATATTCAAACATGGGGTGCCATTTTTACACTTGAACAAGTCGACACCTTTCTTCATTCTGACCCTAGGTAAAGTAAATTATTTAATGGATTATTTTTTCACGTTTCTCTATAGCAGACATTTTTAGTGGTGTCAGAAACCATGGTGGACGTTCTCCAATCAAACTTTATTACAGACTCCAATTCAAAAATAAAAAACATTCTACAAAAAAAAAAAAAAACAGTTTACAAAATACATCAATTCCTTAGCTCTGCTTGATAACATGTATACTACTGAATTCTTATTTGATATGTTTAATAAACCCACAATAATCTTACTGTTTTAAGCATTAATTCGGGAGATAATTTTAAACAGCTGGTTCACGCTCAACTGCTAAAGACCCATAATGCGTTGTAAAATTCGCGCCTATTTTCTTCCCGTGCTTCACCACAAGATGGCATCCATAGCGAATGCTGAAGGTACGAGTTTTAAATATACGTGTATATCATTTAATTGTTAAATTAATGACTGGCTGATTACAGAAACCCAGACATTTTATTTCTTTACTAATAGAGAACAGTGAAGTGAATCACTGTTTTATTTTCTTTCATTCTTAGGTATAAAACTGGTCAAATGTAAAAAGCGTCAGTGATTTTTTGGGAGCGATTTCTATTTAAGCTTTTGAGACAATGGACTACTCAGACTCAGCTGTGGACTTCTCAGAATCTGGTAAGAAGGATTTTTAATCCCTAAGTTCGTTATTTTATATAAAAAAAAACGTCACAACTTGTCGTTTTTCTCCTTAAACACTGACACCACCAAATAAGATCAAGATAAACGTGAATTTATTAACAGGTTCGTTTTGTTTTCTTGTTGTATTTGCACAATTTTTATCAGCAGATGTGCATGCTATGTTTCAGCACGCGGTTAACCATATTGTATAGTGCAATCTAATCTAATAGTAAATTTAGCTAAATGTAGGCCTATGTGTAGGAACTGTTACTTTCTTTGCATTTACGAAATTCTGGATTCATATGCAGTTTATAAAGTAATAATTCATTTACTTAAGGTAATAATTAATGAACAATTTCTTTATGTTAGGGATAAAGAAGAAGCATAGGAGGTTTTTGCAGAATAAAGCCCGACAGGCTGTTGTATAAGATTGAAGGGGTTTATTATTTGAAAACAAAAGCCTCAATAAGGGGTCCTAATGCAGTCCTGAAACTGCATCCTTTCCAGTTGTGCAGGAACACCAGCAATATCTGTTGGCAGAGCACACATTTCTCATTTTTGGTGAATAATTAAAACCGGAACCGAACAATTGTTTGATATGAGGTTGAACTGTTCATCTTTTGATACCTTGTTGTTAACATGTAACTCATTCATTATTTTATTACATTATAGATTCTTCAGGCCCGTAGCCAGCCTGGTGAAAGGGGTGGTTCTTTTTTTTCTTCTTCAAAAGTGGACCTTTTTGCAATTATGCTCTTCATTTTATGTTTAATTCTGATATATTTTAATAATGTTGTTAATTATGCATATTTAAATAATGAATTTTAGTGACAATTTAAGCACTATTTTTGTCTGGTGGTCATCATAAACACACTTTAATGTACCAAAAAATATTTCCTAAAGATTTAGATTAAATAAATTTGTAAAACTACACTACATAGATATAGAAAAAAATAAGAATCTGTTAAAGTTTTAAATTAAAAACTGTAGTCTATTGTAATTTTTGATTCAACTTTCCAGAATGTGACCATTTCAATATGAATAATAATAATAAAAAATAAATAAATAAACATAACAATAATAATAATAATAATAATGTAGAGCTTCACAATTTTTCTTGGCTCTTTTGTAAAAAAAAAAAATAAAAATAGCACTATGAAAATTCATGGATAACAACAATAGGCGTGGGCCGTTATCAGATTCTAATGTATGATAACCTTGGATAAAAATATCACTGTATCATGGTATTGTAATTACTGCCCTAAAATATTTTCTTTGTAAATGTCTGGGTAAAAACAAAATAATTTTTTTGCACTTTGAACACAATGGCAGTGCCTGAAATTCCATACTTCCATACTATATAGTATGCTAAAAAGAGTATAAGCTGAGTAATATGTCTGAATTCTTAGAAATCGGAAAACAGTATGGAAGAAGTACCTGGATGACCTACAACTTCCGGTGAGATTCTGAAGTGCGCATCTAAAGGATGTTACACTATCCCATGATGCACCACGAGAGAATGGGAGTAATGTGGTGAACTGGTGATCATGATAAAATGGCAGATGAAGTACGTTTGATATATTTTATTTTGAGAAGCATTTAAATATTTTAGAGCAGTAAACACGACAGGTTTCATTCCAAAACAGAATTTTTACAATTTTAAAACAACATATTTGGATATCTTTTCTGCGGGAGATACTGTTGCCTTAAAAAAAAAAAAAAAAAAAAAAAACATGACTTTTTTTTTTCTTGGATATACCATAGAAATTGTATGACAGAAATTGTATAACATTTTGGCAGTTTTAAAACCTTGATTTTTTCTAAACCATGGTGTACCTTGAAATCGGTTACCTTCCCATGCCTAAACATCAATAGCCAAAATAGTATTAAAATTAACTTTAATATGGGCTACTTTTGGTGCTTCACACTTTTTTATTGGTCATTTGTTTCAAGAATAAGGTCAAAGATGTAGAATAAAAGTAACCTGTTAAATGTTTTCTGTTTAAAAACAAAACAGTAGTTAAAGATGACTTCTCTTGCATCAGATTATCAAATGAAAATATTTGTTAGCATTGGTGAACTGATAACTAAAGTCACACTGATGCGACAGCTAATAGAGGATCACATGGTCTCAAAGCCATTTTTAATTGGTTGTTTTTACTATTTATGGTGGCATGTCAGTCAAAATAGGACAAATGAGCTCATGTATGAGACAAATTCTGGACCTTTGTCAGTGAGAGGTGGGTATTTTGTACCACCCAAACTTCCCCTGGCTACAGGCCTTTAAATTCAGTTTGAGTTTCGATTCATGTAATGACATTATCATGCAATGACATTGCAGTGTCATTTAGCAACGTATAGCACCTAGTTGTTCCTTTAGCTACTTACTCTGAAAATTAATTGGGAGTAGTGAGTGTGAAACAATCCT